ACTGACATCAGCATCTTGGCATGGGCACCAACAGGACCATTTTACAAACGGTCTCCAATGCTGCCCGCTGCCCGAAGGTTCTGTTATGCCAGCACCTTAGCACATTGCCTCCTTTTTGCTCTCATGCTCAAAGGACCTTCCTAAACTCAGTCATACAGTGTTGCTGCCCCCTACCCATAACCGGCAGCTATGTGTCTTCTGATAATACTGGGGCAATTGTTTCTCTGAAAAACATCTTTGATACAAATTTTAATATTATTACAAAAAGGAAGCCAGCCAATATCTAAAGCCAGTATTTCCCCCCGACAATAATAATCAGCAAATTCCCAACTCAAATACATTTCCAACAGAAGAGACACTTTGAACACTAACTTACATTTACTGTTTTACCACGTGACAAAGCACTATTTGAAGATCTTTACATGCATTCACTCATTTGACCCTCACGAAAGTTCTATGAGGTAGAAGTGACTCTCTATTTTACAGACACTAAAACTGAGGCATAGAATGATTAAGCAACTTGCCCAACATCCTATAGCCAATAAATGTCAGCGAGGATCAAAACTCAGGTAGGTTAGCTCCAGAATACCCACTCTTAATCATTATGCTATGTTGGTGGGGAGGATCTGGGTTATCAAATTTTGAAAATTACTTTAATAGCCAGATAGAAGTGGCAAATGATGGAAAAAAGAAAACTGAAATTAATTTTCACTCTGCCGCCCCTTGCTCTGAGATTGATTTGCACTTGTTTGCTGTTTTGAAATGATGCCTAACACAGATAATCATGGGGTGCTTCTTGGAACCCCTAGGAGATATCCTCCTCTATTGTTATAATAATAGATTTAAAGTTACATTAGGGAGAAACAGCAAGTAAGAATAGAGAATGAAGTAAGTGCTATACAGCACGGTAAGCCTAGCTCTACTCTTGTGATGAGACTTACAAAAATGATTCTCAGCCAACGTGATTAAGGTACAAAACACATGCTATAATATATAAAGACTTTTGATAGTACTGGAATTGATAAATATAAGGAAACGAGATGATGGCTTTATTTTGAAAAGACTCAATTATTGGACTTTCCTTGAGTAAAAGACTGGAGAGGATTCATGATGGAGTACCCAACCTCTTCTCTCAAGATAACTAGTCTTGGGTGCCTGGGTGGCTCAGATGGTTAAGCGTCTGCCTTCGGCTCAGGTCATGATCCCAGGGTCCTGGGATCGAGTCCCGCATCGGGCTCTCTGCTCCTTGGGAGCCTGCTTCTCCCTCTGCCTCTCTCTCTCTCTCTGTGTCTCTCATGAATAAATAAATAAAATCTTTAAAAAAAAAAAAAAAGATAACTAGTCTTGCCGGACCCCAACTTAGACGTGGCCAAGAATGGTTTTACAACAGGGCAAAACAGCAGACCAGCCCTGGGCACAAAGCAGATGTTTGCTGAGTGATCTTTAGGCAAGTCAATGCTGCAAAAGGTTCCAGAGAGTAAAAGATGGCCTGGACGACTGATCGTTCCAAAACTTATAGCATGCCAGAGTTGGGGAGGCTTAGTGATCCCAGGACTCAGTTCTGAGGAACTCGGGGAACCACCACCTCACCATTCATCCAATCCGACCCCCACCTTGTACAGAGAAAGCACTCCTGTTCCAGCTTCCTGCTCAAAGGATATTTTTGTTCAAGATGACTAAATCTTCCAGAGTGGGCTTGAATGAGACCTGCAATCCTGAAGAAATAGCCAACTGAATCTCACAATCATATTTAAAAATTAATACAAGAGGTAAACTAGTATCAGACATACAGGAGCTGGAGCCACCCGCATGACCTGTCAGCTGCCTTGGAGGCTGCCACCAGTGTTTGATAAGTGATCTCCAGTGCTTAAAAACAACAACAAAGGAGTAATAACATGAACGAAAAACAGATGAGAGAGCAACCCTAGGGGCGCCTGGGTGGCTCAGTCGTTAAGCGTCTGCCTTCGGCTCAGGTCATGATCCCAAGGGCCTGGGATGGAGCCCCGCATCGGGCTCCCTGCTCAGCGGGGAGCCTGCTTCTCCCTCTCCCTCTGCCTGCCGCTCCCCCTTCTTGTTCTCTCTCTGTGTCAAATAAATGTGTAAAATCTTAAAAAAAAAACAGCAACCCTAGCTCCTAATCTCTTTGTGTCAGGGAAGACAATGAATATTTGACTGTAAATCTGCTAGCCTAAAAAACCCAACGAAACACAAACTGTTCGGACTGGATGCAGGAGTTTATGCTAGTCCACATGTGACGCTGGATGACCCCTCTCTCCCAAGAAACACAGTGACCATGTGGGTTTTGCTCATCACTGTGTGTTCAACCACCCTCACCCCTTAGTGCCTGGCACAGTACAGGAGCTATTTAATTATTTCCTAACTGACTGGCTGAGTGGCTTTATGTGTTTAAGAAATCCATCCCTCACCTTGCTCCTTGCCTCTAGGTTAACTTAGAATCTTGAAACTCTCAAGGTAGAGGTTCAACTGGCTCCACTTTGGGGGCCTAAGGTACAGACACTAGTTCCTACAGAATTTCAGGGGCTGGGGGAGAGACCATTAGACTTGGACCCACTTAAAAACAGACTTCAAATTTCCCCTAAAACCTAGGCCTGTTTGTTCAGGAAAAGCTAAAGGTTTCTTTGGGTCTAATCCCGTGAACAGCCTGCAATGTCCACTTACCCCTGTTCTGCATCCATGTCCTCTAACATGACATCTCTTCTCTCCAAAATACACTTACTTACCTGAAACTGAATCTGACCTGTGCTTCCCTCATCTACTGTAGTCTTGGTTAAAAACCTTCATGCCACTCTGAGCGCTCCCCACACAGGGGCTATACTCCCGTGGCTCGGTTCTAGATGTTCAGTCCTCAGCGGGGAGGCCCGGCCCTGCACAGTGAGCTCTTAGGCTTAAAAGGGAAGGTCCTAACACCCACCCTGTCCGGAGTCAGCAAGAATGGGAGGACTGCTGCATGTCCAGAGGCCCATCTCTAGACACAGTGGGCAGCACAGCGCTGATACACAGCTAGGTAGGTAACAGGAAAGAGCAGCAAAAGGAGGGAAAACAAGGCACCCTGGGCTAAAGTAGTGGTTGGGAGGACCTGACCTTCCGAGTCCACAAGAGTAATTTTAGGTCTTTGGTCCAGAAATGGTAAATTCTTCAGCAGTTCTTGCAAGCCTTTCATTTTGCAATACACAGCTGTCATTCAGCCAAGTCAATCCAAGGATGAATGAACACAATAGGAATCACATGATTTGTTTACCAAAAAAAAAGGTAGCTTTACAAACATTCTTAGTAAGAAAGCCAGAACAATCCACAGAGAAATGATAAAAACTTGCTTTTCCATTTTGAAACATACTTGTTGGAAAAGGGTACTTCTCTTATTTTTATTTTTGAGATTTTTTTTTTTTAAGATCTTATTTATTTGACAGAGAGAGACACAGCGAGAGAGGGAACACAAGCAGGGGGAGCAGGAGAGGGAGAAGCAGGCTTCCCCCTGAGCAGGGAGCCTGATGCGGGGCTCGATCCCAGGACCCTGGGATCATGACCTGAGCCGAAGGCAGACCACCCAGGTGCCCCTATTTTTGTGAGATGTTTTTAAAAGTTATGGAGACGTGCAAGACATAAAAACACAACACAATAACGCAAGAAGCAACCATATACTGTACCTTTACTTCATCAAGTCCTGTGCTGTCTGATAGTCTCTGGATCATTCTTTTATTTTTTTTCCCCCTCAAAAGCAAAGTTACTTAAAAGCTGATTTTTCACGTGGCTTTGCTTCGTTTCAAGTTAACTTTTAACAAACCAGTTTCTGCTACATTTTCTTAGCACATTTACCCAATTCCGTGCTTAAAAGCAACAATTCATTCAGACAACTGAAATGTATGGGATTTCATTCTAATATCAAACTCAAAGAGAAGAACTAGGATAGTCCCACGGGCAGATTGCTGCAGCCAAGTGTGATTCATGAAGCCATGACATTCAATAAGTGGTTTCAAAGCTCAGTATGTATAAGGCTAATGGAATATGATGTAATCAATCAAAAACAGACAGAACCCCATCCTGATTTTATACCAATGCCAATAAAATTAGCAATCATACAACAGAATCATGTAGACAGAAAAGAGTTTTCTCTATTTTACATAAAAATTTAAGTGAGATCCAAGAAATAAAATGCAATACAGTTGTCTATGATAGATCAGTGGCAGAGTTTTTGAGAAACACAGGTTGGGAGTCTTTATGGGCCAGCACCTCTGCTCATAATCCTCAAAGGTGACCAAGAGGGAGAACTGTGGATCACTGCTCACAAGAGGAAGATAAGGTGGGCCAGTCTCAGTACATCCCCAGGCCTAGAGGCAGAGGTCAGAGTATATTCCTACTGAGGCAGCTGGCTACTGGTACCATTTCCACATGTAACCTAATTTTTGTATCCTTACCTTTACTCTGCAGTATTCTTTTTCATCTCTGAAAAAAAGGCTATTTTAATAGCAGTTTGGAATTTCAGACTCTTTTACCCACACCAAGAAAAGTGGGTGACAATGCAATGATGAAATGATGAGCTATATTTCATTTTGAAATGGAGATGTTTCCTCTTTCTAGGGAGGGAATGAGGTTGTGGCATTCTGGGGGTGGAGGGCATCCGATTTATATTCATAGCTTTATTTGAATAAAATTAATATTTAAATAGGCTGCAATCCCTTGAAGTCAGACAGTACAGTGAGATAGAAAAAAATAAAATAAAATAAAAATATATATATATACCCCAGAACTTTAAAACTTTTCACTAAGAATCCACAAAATAGATAACCCACACAGTGATAACTTAGAACTGACTTTCTTAAAAGGTTGCTTCTGGCTAACCTAGTTAATAATAACAAATACAAAGAAACCTTTAGCAGTAAGAGGAAAGTCTTTTTGATGCCCTGGGCAAAGCCTTCCGGTCATTGGCCTGTTCCCCGGTCCATTCAAAGTCTGGGCTGACTAACACTGAACCACAGCCTCACCTGGGACTTCAGGAGAGAATCTTGCAGAGTGTCGAGACACAAAAAGTTTCAGTTCTTGGTCCAGGTTGCATTCAATCAGGTTGGTGTCCCATGATCGGATTCCTAAGGAGGGAAAGGAAGAGAATTGACAGAGTTCCAGTTAGTCATTTCAGAGTGGTTTGGAAAACATCATTGTGACATTTCTCAGGCTTTATGGGGGGATGTGGAAACTTCTTTTCTGAAGAGCTTGGTGGCTAGCAGTGGATGCCCACAAAATGGGAAGGCTGGGGAGGTCTCCCTACCAGGCCACAAAAGAGGGATAACTAGCAGTGTGGACTGAACTTCTGCCCCTCATAAAATGTAAATGCAGCTTTTCTGGGAGAGTAAAGAAAACAGTTATTAGGAAAATGACAGGCTTTACTCTAGGGAGGGAGTAGAAAGGACAGGAAGATGGTTAAGTTCTATAGCAGTGAGGAGGCCACCAGATCATCTCTAGGCTTCGCAGGGTCCACTTGTAGGTGGCAAGGAAATGGAGAGTGAGGGTGGGGGGGCTGGCATTCAAATCCAGGCTTTTGTTTTCAAAATGGTAGTGTTTGCAGTGTGCATATGCATTTTGTGCGCACATATGGTTTTTCTTTACCCATCCCGTTTTTGACCTGGGTTTCTCAACTCCCAGATATCAATCCAAAATGTGTGCGATCTGTAATAAGAAGACTGGATCTCAATCTTAAAGACTTGCCCTCTCTGTCCTCCCCTGCATTTATTTTACCTGACTAGCTTGGCAGGTAGTTCTTTCATTCACAATTGTTGATTGTACTCAATTTTCTTATCCAGAGGCAAAAAATGTGGCAACATTTTATACTTTAAAAAAAATTCTACAGAGCCGGGGCCATGAACTGTCTCTTCCCACACACATTCAGGCTTCCTTCCATTCACTAGGCTGGGGTCTAAGGAACTCAGATACCCTACCTCCCTCATCTCCTCCTCCCCCTGTCCTTCTAAAGGAGATGGCCAGAGGGACCCCAGAGGACATGGAAGAAGGGAGAACTGGGGAGCAAGCCAGGGAAAACTGGGAAACCACAAAACTCTGGAACGTGTTTTTTTAATGCACTTTTTATGTATTATGTAGTATTTTTTAATGTATTTTTTATGTATTTTTATACTTTCCCAAATAGGTAGCTCATGATAGAGCCATTAGGCAGTATCCACGATTGTACCCTTGCATGGAGCATCCTCAATTGCAACAACAGCCATTTATTGCATACCTACTAAGAGCAGGGGCTTGAACCTCCAAGTAAAATACAGCAGACAAACTATCTCTAAATAAACACAGGGTCATTTAATCATTTTTCCTGGTCATTAGTCATTCAAACAGACTTGGGAGTATAAATGGCAGTGCATTATTTAAACACACCCATAAATCCTTAATGCCTGTCTGTATTTACCCCCATTTATATCTTGTTCAGTCTTCTTATCTTGCAAAGAAACAAGATATGCAGGTGTGTATGCTTTTACGTGTGTGTGTATATATATGTATATGTGTGTCTTGTATATGTATAAAATGTATTACACAAAGATTCTGGAAACTCAGTTGACTACACATCTAGACTATCTTCAGATTATACACCAAACACCTTTCGACTCTGAGGAATATTTTCAAATAGATGCATGTCCACCAAATAGAGGCAAGAATTGATCATGCAATCCATGGGAAGAATTCAGGTGTGGAAGAGTTAACATTTCTAAAGAGACACTAAATTATAAAGGAGAATTTTATGGGTCTCCCTGGAAACATCAACAGCCTCAGCTTGCATTTGTGCTAATGGAGTATTTAAATTTTAACAAGAAAGGCATGTTGAGATTTTGCAGATCTTTTTAGTGCAGAAATGATAAATGGGTTCTTTTTGTTTCAAAGGAAGCTTGACAGGTTGAGAGGTCTGAATTCATTAGAATATTTTACTTCAACATATACACTATATCCTGGGCTAGTGTGAAAAACCATCAAGCTCCTGTCTGAGCTGCTTAATTGGTAATTGTTAACTGGATTCTCTGTGCGCCAGGTCTGAGCTCCACTTTATCTCCTGGCTTGTCAAGTTGGGTCACTAAGTTAATAATGAGATATATGTATTTAAATTAAATTCATACGCTTTTTCTGCCTTTGTTCTACGTTATGTCCAAATTGCTCCATCATTTGAACGACTTCATCTAGGGTTATATGTAGACTTGCTCTTATATTATTGTTTGCCATTTTCCCCTCAACTTCAATTAACTTGTCATGACACATTCAATTAAATGTTTGCTTTATATTTCATAAACTCCTAGCTGTATGATTTGTAATTTAGCAAGGGAAAAAGCACAAAACAGAAAAACCATCTAGAAATTAATTTTTAAATTACACTAGTAAAAGGCCGATAAAAATAATATTTCTCAGATTTTTTACTGCCAATGAAACTAAAAATTTAGGGTTCTCTTTTCAAAGGAGCAATTTCCAGCCAAATTATGTCTTAACAATGCATAATTCACTACTACCACTTATAAAATAAAGGTTACAAAGGACTTACTGGCTATTTTAATTGGAAAGGAAAATTTTGGAATGAGGCCACTTTCTATACCAATTTTAGAAATAATATACTTTGTACCTTCTACTGGATGATACTAGTAAAGAGAAATACTATTTCTCAATGAAGGCTCTTATTTCATTTAGTAGGTTTATATATCTTCCCTCTGTGCCTAACAGGAAGCCAACAGTAGGCCCTCTAAAGCTTATAGGACAGAAAAATATCTTTGGCTCTTGCCACACTCTCTTTCCTGAGCCTCTGCTTCTCCAGCACTCTATGAAGACTGTGCCCCTTACTGGCTTACCTACGTCGGGGCAGAATAGAACAACTCCACCAACTGAAGGTCAACCTCCATTTATTAAATTTCTAGGCCCAGAGGACACCTGTCACCCCTGGAAATTGACTTATGGCTAGGCATCCTAAGAATTCTCCCATCTAATCTGGGGCTGCTGCCCAGTGGTAGAACCACCACTGTCCGAAGGCCAGTCCTCCAGCCAAGGGGACTGAGGGTAACAAAGATCTTTTTATCTCAGTTCTCTGAATCCAGGGGAAAGCAAGGCACAAAAGGGAGGCTAAAGTGCACCTAAAGTTTACAGATGGAAAAGGGAGAAATGAAAAGGTTGTGTGTGGGGGGAGGGGGTGTGTTCATTACAGGACAAGTCAGGGTGAACAATGAGGAGCCACTTTCCCTTACTTTATACAGGTTATATCTTGCCAAGCCTACCAATCATGCAAGCATTTTGCACGGTTATTTAATAAAACTGACAATTTTTAAAAAGCACCTCCCATTTAAAGACTAAAATCTATATTCCTAAAAAAGACAATAAATTGGGAAAACCAGCAAAATGATCATTCATTACATGTTGAAATGGCACATGGGTTCTACCTGACAGTTATTTGGGCCTTTGAAAGTTGACTTTTTTTTTTCCCCCCATGAACTTTTAAAAAAATCCCTCTGATCCATAGGCTTTGGGATATTTTTTGCTAGTACCTAAATGGTTAACCTATAAACTGTAAGATTTGATCTGTGAAACTATGCTAAAAAAGTGATCGGGAGGCAGATTAGAATCATAAACTAAAGAAACAGAATTAAAACAAAAAAAGAGCTAAATTCAAGGTTTACTTGTCAAAGAAGTTTTCCTATTGTTTCCCTTGACTAAACTTTCAACTGGCTTTTTTTCTTTTTCTTAAGCCAACAACTTGATGTTCATAACATACATGCAATGCAGGCAATACCTTACATAGAGTTCATCATTTCAAAGCACTGATGATAAGTAATTTAGGTCTTTTGATAGCTTCCCACATTGGAAACAAACAAAAGAAGTGATTTATAATTATTATTGGTCTAAAAGTTAGAACTTACTTAAAAAGTAAGCCTTTAGAGAAGATTAAGAATGAATCATCAATTTAATGACCTTACATTTGGGGACTGGCTTGGATTTCAGCATGGATCACAGAACCCTTACCAGATAATACCAATTAAGCAGTACAAGCAGAAATCCATCTGCCTTTTGACTTTGAAAAGTATAAAGATGAACATAATATATATAACACTCTCCAACACTTCTTCTAACCTTCACCATGTGTTGGTGTTTTTCCTGTTAAAATAAAATGAAAACTAAACCCCAGATCTTTCCTGGGTTCTTAATTCTCTTGACCATCTTGAACTGAAGACAATCAATAAAGTAACATCAGAAGGTTACAATGTAATCAGCTAAACTTACATTTCAAAATCCAGGGCAGTAGATGTTACACACACCTATCTTTTTATAAACAAATCTTGTTGATTCCCAATGTTAACCAGAGAAAAGTTACACTCTTTACCAGCAACTGAAAATGTCAAACTGACACTTACTATTCTTTATATGTCTTAATTCCTATAAAGCAATAAAATAAAGCAATGAAAACTTTCATAAGGCTCTAGAATTCAGTCTGCAAGCCATGGATATATGTAGTCAACGTCCTCAAATAAACTGGAGGAGTGGGGGCTCTGCTAAAAATGGGGATGTCTATTAAGTCTAAGTTGGGGGCTAATTAGGAAGAGGGCAAAAGAGGTGCCAGGGAGTGGCATTTGGTGGTAACAACAGTGGTTTGGCATAAAGTGCTGCATAACTCACAAAATAAAGCTAGACCAGTCCAAGGGAAGACTATTGTTTCAAATTTGAGAAGATATGAGCAAACCTTACTTACATTGCACATTTTGAATAATACAGTTGAGAAAATGAAGAACCATCTCTCTTCCGTGGTTTCAAAAAGCTTTACGAAGCATCCACATCGGGATGTTTCAGGCCTGTTGATTTATTGCATTACCACCATCTTCCTACAGGTTTATTTTCTAGGCTTCCCAAAGAACCCTCAGTAATCAGATGGCAAAATTCCAAGTCACCAGGGTCTCCAAACCCACAGAACAGCAGTTAAGATGGGAGGGGAAACAGGAAGCAAGCCTAACAAATGATGCACTGCATTCCCAGCCTGCAGCACTCAATGGGAGCCGAATCCCCCCCGGAGCATCTCCATCTCACTCCACACAACGCGGCCCATGACGCGGCCCGCAGGCCCCAGCAACAATAGCAGTGGTTTCGGAGTGACCTCTGGAGGACGCCCAGCTGGGACCTGCAGGCTGAGGCCGCGGCAAGCGTGTCAGGCACAGGGAAACAGAGCCAGCCTGCCCTGTTGCTAAGTCATCTCAGACTCTGAAGAGCTAGGGGAGCAATTTCGCTTAGTACTGGAAGGCCCAGTAGCTTGAGCTGCATCTGAGACCCCGGGACCCAGGAGAGCAATCTCCAGAGGAAAAGCAGCATCTGTTACTGGGCGTGAGGAAATGGCTCTGCTCACTCACTTGACTGATTGTTAATGGGCTCAATGCAGCAATTTTGGAGTTTTGTGCAAAAACCTGACCAAATTAGAGAATTAAAAATCAGGAAGGCACCGTGATTGGAAAGGGAAAATGAGGGGGCTTCCGGGATCCCAGCAATGCCTGTTTCTTGATCTAGGTAACACAGGTGTGTTCATTCTGTGAAAATTCACTGAGCTCCTCCTTTGTGATTTGTGCCTTTTCCTCTCTATATATTACTCCAATAAATTTCAAAAAATTAACGTCAGAAAGACAAATCTGAACTTTATTCCTGCACGCTAATAGTGTGAAAAGGTGTAAAGACAGGGTACTTCATAGCACTACCTGGATGCATCTGTTTTTTTCCTCAAACAGAAGCAGACTGAATAAATCCCCTGAGGAATGGGGTACTGTAAAGGATGATCAACACAGTAACAAAGCAGGAAGATAATTAGGGTAGGAAGGTGAGTGCTGAGCCACCTCCCTGCACAGGGCGCTGCCCACAAGTGGGTGGCTATACAAAGGCAAGCTCTGAAAACTGCCCTGTTTGATGTTCCTCTGATGTTTGTCTGCTCTGCACTAACATCGTGACAAAGCCAGAAAACCCACACTGGTGCAGCGCGGGCACTTCTGTCACTGAGGAGTGACGTGACCTTGAGCGGGTCCCCTACCCTTCCGGCTTCTCTGGGCCCCCATCTCTAAAATGGGCACCACATCGTGTGGTTCTGAAAATCTTATAGATAGCAAAGCACCTCCCAATGTATTATTATTCCCCGGCAACGGTGCTGACAATAATTGTTTTTAATCCGAAATCATTGATTCATATAGCAGCCACACCCAAAGTCAGTATGGGTGAAATTTTCCAAGGAGAAAATGTGCAAACTAAGAAGGGACCACATTAAAGGCCTATAGTTTGAAAATGAAGGATTTTTGAGATGCTCAAATAAGGCATTTCGCTATTGAAATCTTATTCTTGAATTTTTTTCGAATAAAATTACACGACTCCATGCTGCCTTTTTTTTTTTTTTAAGCTGAAAGGGAAAATCAGTGCTTTAAAGTTAAACAAAAGAACCAGGTCTGCAACTCCAGTCCCCACCCTGCAGCCTTTTGTTCTGGGGACAAGCGGCCGTTTCCAAATGCAGAGTCGGAAAACAAGCTCTAATTTTTTTTATCGCAAATAAGGTTTTCCTTTCATCTTTTATGGGGGTGGGGGGTGCCGGGAGCGGGGAACGAGGGCTGCGTGAACGCCCTTTGTCCGCCTCGGGCTGCCGTAGAGACCGCAGTGCGGACTGCACCACGCCCACCAGCCGGTGTCTCCTGGCAGAAACGTTTCAGCACCACCCCAAGAGAATAGAGCGCGGGCTGGGGCTGCGGAGGGACCTGACGACCTCTGTCAGGGGCGAGGGGAGGTCTGGAACGCCAAGGGTGAAGGCAAAGGCAGAGACCAGAGCTGCCCACTCGGGGGGCTACGAGCGCAACAAAGCCGGGCCGAGGGAGAAGTGGGGGTACGCAGCACCAAGCCCGAGGCCCCGGCGGAGCGCACGCCCGGCCGACCGCGCCCGATGGGGGCGCCGCAGTGCGGGGGGCAGGTGTGGCGAGCGGAGTGGGGCACTGCGGCAGCCCGGGTGGGGCTGGGGGGCGGGTCGGTCCGCGCGCCTGAGGCTGCGCCTGCCGGGCCCTCACGGCCCCGCCCAGGGTTCTGGGCGAACCGCTATTCGGCCTCTGCAGAGCGCGCTCCTAGTGCGCGCACCGGGCGAGGCGCTGGCCCTACCCGCCCTAAGCCATCACTACCGAGGCTGAGACTTTTGAAAGAAGCCCCACCCCGCAACTTGGGGTCCCATTGTCCTTTCTGAAAGCTGCAACCAGGGTCCCAGGGGCGGTAGCGAGGCGGGCCGCCGTCTGGGAACCAAGCGCAGGCGGTTCTCCATCCCTGCGTCCCGGGTGGAGGTGGGGGGGGAGGGGGGAGCGGGCGTGGCCCCAGGACTAGCCTAGTCATTGCGAGGAAAGAACAAATCGGGAGGTTTTAAGCCAGAAAAGGCATTTCTCGGGCGCTGAGGTAACTGCGGTGAGGATGATTCCCACGCGGGCACTGGCACATGGTCTGCCGGCGAGGGGGAGAAGGGAGTCCCAGTATTTTGCGGGGGACAGGAGAGGACTAAAAGCTGTGTTGGCATCAAGCCCTCCCTCCGCCCCTTTTGCTCTCTGCGGTCTGGGCTTTATCGCGGCTTCTCTGCTCCTCCGACACCTGCATTTCATTTAGCGGGGGAGACGGTGGCCAGCTCGGATCTGCAGACCCAGCCTGATGACAGAGCCCTCAAGGTTAGGAGAGACTCTCCCGCTGGGTCTCAAATCTAATTAAACTCCCATTATTCTACGTAATTAGCCCCAAAAAAGAATCCGGACTGAGTGTGGGGGGTGGCGGGGAGAGGTGCGGGTGCGGGGCGCTCCTGAGAAGGAGGGTGGCCGTCGCGCCCTGGGTGGGGTCGCGTTTGCCCGTCTCCTCGAGCGCGTGCCCTGGGGACTGAGGGCCTCTTACCGAGTTCGATGTTGCCGATGGCGCGCCGTAGGTGTTCCTCGGTCACGATTTCGCCGACGACCACCAGCAGGTAGAACTTGCTGTCGAGGAAGCGATGCGACAGGCTAGGCGAGGTGGACGCCGCCGGGTTGGCGATGCTGCCGGACGGCTCCGGCTCGGCGGCTTCCACCACCACGGTCGCCATCCTGCCGGCCCGCTATGCCTCGGCGAAGTGTCCGGGTCCCGCCGCTCGTCTTCTCTGCGGCAGGAGAAAGGATTATCTCCGAAGGTGCTGTCTCGGCTCCGCCCCCTGCGTCCCCCCTCCTCCTGGCGCTGTGCGCCGCCTCCCCCTCCGCCCTCTCCTAGAGCGCGCGGCGGAGAGGAGCGGGGAGTGAGAGAGGGCGGGGAGGCGGCGCCGCTTTTATACGGAGACTAGGCTGGGAGCCGGGAGGAGGAGGAAGAGGAGGAGGAAAGGACCACCCGGCACATCCTCACGCGGTGGCTGCCTCCGCTCTTCCAGCCGTTGGCCCAGAGCTGATGTCATCTGCAGCAAATCATCTCGCCCGCGGCCCGGAAGCTGGAGGGAAGAGGTGTGCGGACAATGGTCAGGGCAGGGCCGGGAGTCAAGGGCCTGGGGGACGCTAAGGGCCCCCGCTGCAGCCGCGAAGGGGGAAAACACTACCCACCTACACCCCCCAAACACCCACTGCCGGCTGCATACACTCACCCGGCTTGTGCAGCAGCATGGGATGGGTTTCCATTTTTACAGTGGGGATATTTACCTTGTACGAGGTGCACAAGTCAGGCCTCTGCCTCGTGTCCCGCCTGTGATGAAACTAGCTTCTCAGGTGCTGTGATAGATAGCACAGCGGGTGTAGTGCTGGGGGTACCCCGCCCAGGAAGATGGAACCTGTCTTTTCTTTGACCTTGTGGACTTAGGAAGACATATTTACCAGTATTTTCCACCTTCACTTAATACATCAAAAATGCAAAACCTAACCCTAATATTGTTCAGGCATTGGACCCTACTCTGCAAGTCCCAATGGTTAAAAAAAAAAAAAATACTGGCTTTGTGGTGCTCATGGGAAATGAGAGGAATACAGATGCATTTTTCTAGATACAGATTTCTTTTCTTAATAATATGCTGAACAGATAGTATCAGGCATAACAAAGAATAAAGAGAAGATACTGTCTCTCTCCCAGCAGGATTACAGTGACTATAATGTACTTTTCAGTTCCCTAGGGGACACACAAGCAAAATTATTTCATGTGACAGTGATATCTTTAAAAATATATGTGGCATTGGGAATTTTTATTGCCTTTGTGTTTAGAACACATAAAAATGTTTGAAGGCAGCCCATCTACAACCATTTCTCACAGATCTTCTGAATATAGCTTCTGTCCCAGGAAGGGGTTGTGATGGTGAAGAACGAACAAAATGTACAGACATGGTACTATTATAAAAGACTGCAGAATTAGAAGCTTAAAAAAGAGGACTGGATGGAAATTAGACTAGTCAATATAGTTTTAATACTAGAATGCATGTTAGTAAAAAAAAAAAAATCACCTGGATAGGCTAAGATTTCCAAATTAGCCCATTGTCTTACCTATTAACTACCATGATTTATTGGTGATACACACTTTGCTCTTAGCTCTTTCCTGAAACCCTGGCATGGGAGACACAGTGGGCAGCCAAAAGCCATGATTCCTTCCTACATTGCCAGTCTGATCAATGGGGAATAAGATACCATCTGGCCCACAGCAGTTGAGGTCTGGGACAAGCTCACTGGTGAGCCACATTCACCAGTGAACAGTGACAAAAATTCCCAAGTGAGATGGTAACAGATCCCTTCTTGGTCAAGAGAAGACCTTCAATTTCTGTTTGAGAGGTAAGCCAGCAGCAACACCCATAATTGGGGGAGGAGGTTTGGTAAGGAGCATTGTTTTCCAGAGGTCAGCCATTGGAACCCACTGTCATGTATTGAACCACCATTACTTTTATTTATGTAATCGTTTTCTTTAGCTCTGTTTCTTTTATTTAGATTTATTTTCAATGAAATTCTTTACTGCTATACAAATGGAAACACTAATATCACTTATAAATAGAAGGTATCCCTAAGATAAACATAATGAAAAAAAGATAATGTAATTAAACTCCTGCTCTACACTGTTATTTGCTCAAGACTCTGACCCTCAGGGGTAAGCTCTCTAGATAAAAACAGAGATTAGCAAGTGTTAGAGAGGGGGTTAAGACACACTACCTCCTAACTGAGTTGTTCTCCATGTCAGAAGGTTGGATGAAAATAACACAGGAGCTTTCTTACTGTGTGAGTCAGTGCAATTAAATGCCATGACCACAAAGCACCTAAGTCATCACCCAGACTTTGAAAAACAAAGACGTAATGACAGAAAACAGACTAGAGATGCTGACTGCTACTGTACAGCTTTTAACTCTGGGCAAGGGACTTACTCTTCTTGATCTTCAGTCTCTTTGTTAGTATACTGGAGAGAATAATATCTTTATAAAAGTGTGAGTAACTCTGTAAGAAAGGTGTAAACGGTAGACAGTGTAAGTACCTAATACAGTGATTGGAATAATAAGCACTCAAGGTGTGGTTAATGAATACACCTGTTTTGTCCCAGTTTGCTGGACAATGGAGTAAAAACATTCTTACAAAATGTGCAGATGACATCAAGTTGGGCATGACTACCAAGATCTCTGAAACAAGAATAGAATATTAAGTGACACTACAAACTAGAAAAGTAGTCCCCACCCATCCCCATCTCAAAAAAAAAAAAAAAAATTACGCTAAGGAGGTAGAAGGGGAAAACTAACAGAAGAGAGCCTGTGTTGCCTGCAGCCACCTGATGTCACCTGGATGTCCCAAAGAGACCTGAGACTCAACATGCTCCAAACCAAAATCACCTTTGCGCCCCAAACTTGATCCTCTCACTTCTCCTAGTTCAGCGAACAGTATCACCATCTATCTTATGATGCCAGCCAGAAACCTCAAAAGCATCTTAGACTCCTCCCTGACCTCTAGCCCCATGGACAACTGAGCATGAAGTCTGGTCAGTTTTATCTAAGTATCTCTTCAATCTTGGATTACTTAGTTGGATTACTATCAGCACCATAATCCAAACTTCTATCATCAAGAGACGTCGGAGTGTGCAGGTTAGAAATCGGTTTCTGAAGTCATTCATACATAATACTCTCAGAATAACAATAAAAATGTTAAAATCACTTTAGGATTTTTTTTCAGTTCTCTTTGTTATTAGATAGATCCCAAAGGGCTGCAGTTTTAAAGTCACTTCAATTAATTCATTTTTATGATTATGCCACTAACTCAATACATAATTCGGTTCATCTGTTTCATTTTGTTTTTGGTTTTTAGGATTGATTTTTTATACTTAATTTTGATTTATATCTATGTAAAATATTTGGTCCCAAAATCAAATCTACAAAACAACTTGTATTCAGACAACTTTAGCCTCTCTTTCTCCTCCCCCTTCCCTCTCTAACTCTTTTGCCCAGGTTTAGCCTTCTATTTTATTTTTTTAACTTT